GCCACATTGTTTACATTTTCTGAAATTTAATTTAACTTAATTTAAATTTAATTTAAAAGAAACTTTGCTGGCATTGTTTCAACTTTTTTTGCAATCAGTTCCAGCAAGGGCAATTCAAATATAATCTCAGCATGTAAGAGGCAGTGAACAAAGGAAATGAGGTTGTAGGAATAACTTCAGAAGCCAAAATGTGATTAACAAATATTTGGCATTTACCTAGCTCCAATGTAGGCTGAATGCTTAGAGGAGAAGCAGTAAATGCCATGTTACAATAGACCAGCCTTTCCCAACCTCATAACTACAAGATGGACTGGGATTGCATCTTCAAACAGCCCGAGAGAAAATCAATTGAAAGAACACCTTATCCCTTCATTTTTGGTTTTAAACCTTGTGGTTTCTATTATCTAACCCTTAAATTAGAAAGAAATGAACAATATTTCAGCTTGACAGGCTGTTTCTAAGGAACAAAAATAAGCCACAGGAGAAAATGGTGAAACATGTTGAATTGTGGACTCCTTGGTGAGTCCTGAGCTTGGTTGTTTGCTTGAAGGTATTTTATTACCTGACCAAGTATCATCATCGGTGTTAGCAGGTGTGAGGTTTGCTCTCTGTTTACATACAATTTCCCAGTTGAACTATGAGATTTTTCCATGTGTTGTGAGATTAATGATGTTATCTAATTGGGTAATGAAACATGTGCAAACAAACAACCAAGCTCAGAAAGAACCAAGTTCAAATGTGACTAACATACCTTTGCTTCTATTGTTTTTAAACTTATTCAGAATCGACAAGTCATTTGCCTGGTTATGAGGCAGTATTAAGTTTGCTTTGATGTTGTTTTGAGTTAATATTTGGATTTCCTATCACAGAACATCCTGTTACTGTTTATCAAGCAGCACTATAATGCATGGAAATGAAAAACAAGAAGTGGTGCAGTAGAATATTTAAATATACATACCAATAATGTTTCTCTGATTTCAGGGGGGAGGGTTGTACTGTCAGACTTGCAAGACTGATGTTAGCCCTGCCTGAGGGATAGTATAAAGCTACAATATCAGAACCTTGCAAGTCTGAAAGTACAATCCTACCCATCTCCTTTACTGCCTAAGATACTAGGAAGGATATCTTCGAAGCCTCTTGCCACACCTATTTATTTAGTTGCAAGCTATCCTTTCTCTTATGTGACTCTTCTATTGGCAGTATCTCTTTGCCCAATGTCAAGATCTTTCCCACATATCATTACATGGTGCACAAAGAACAAATATAATTAAACACTCATGCTTTTATTAACAGCTACTTTGGCTGTAATGGGACACTTAAGCGCTTTAATAATAGTGGGGTTAGGAAGTAAAACCCAGCCAGCCATTAGAAATTGTACTTGTTACTAAGAAAGCTACTTTTTAAGAGCTAACAAATAATAGTTAATATCTCTGCGTTGCATCCAAGCTTGCACTTTTAACTGTTATATTTTATCATGCTATTTAAAGAAGAAGAAAAAAACAGCAAAACATATCACACACTGCTCACACTTAATGCATACTCAGAGCTTGAGACTCTGATTTAAATATAAAATAAGCTCCAACAGCCTGAGCAAAAATTTATGACCACCTACTGGAAACACAGGTATTCATTTTGGTATTTTAAAACGGATTCTGAACAAGAGCATTTAAAGATTGCACATACACCCCAAACGCCAAGCTTGCTAAACCAACACTGAATTACTAGGCCTTGCTTTTACACAATAAGAGATACAATAGCCACCTTTGGTTACAAAGCACTGCAGCACACACACACCTTTTGACTTGGCAAAGCCATCGACAGAGTTGCTTTGCAGCTTGCTGGAATGTAGATAATGATTGTTAAAGTAGCCATGTCATTTGCAAAGCTTATTTAGGCAACTTCAGAAGGTACAGAAAATGAGTAACCTTCCAAATGATGCAGCTGTTTTTTGTGACTCAAAAACGGGCCTTTTAGATGTTCCTGCCCCTTTCAAAGGCTTTTCACAGCCCTAGAGCCCATATATCATTGCATGATCAGAATCAAGTGCAACACATATTTGGATTGAGTTATCTAGAGATGGGCTTATATGTAAATATATATAGCAATAGTTTTTAAAGGTACCCATATATATTCATGTATCAGCCCATCCTCATCTAATCTGATCCTTGAATTTTTAAGCAAAATACCATGAAAAATTAGTGCCAGCTTGGTCCAGTGGTTAAGGCTCCAGGCTAGAAAGACTTTGAGTTCTGGTCCTGTCTTGTGCATGAAAGCCAGCTGGGTAACTTTGGGCCAGTCATTCTCTTTCAGCCCAACTTACCTCACAGGGTTGTTGTTGTGGAGAATAATAGGAGGAAGTAAGTGTTGGATATGTTTGACATCTTAAGTTATTTGTAAGAATAATAAAGGTGGAATATAAATAAATAAAAAAGTAATACAAAATATTGGAAGATTGGTGGCTACCACCAATTTTTCTGAGGCTTAACTTCTGCTTTCCTCTCGACCTTTCACTTTCACATTATCCAGACAAAATCTAACCCAAAGCAGGAGGGGTATGACTGGTCCCACTTATTGTACTGGCTAGATGGAGGAAGCCTGAGTAAAAACAGACCAGGCACAAGTTACAGAACAGCCAATTGGATCAATCAGGACTCACAAACCCAGAATTGGTCAAAATAATCAAGATTTATTTCAGTATATTTTGTCAAAGTCTTGAAACAAAGGCCATGGTTTTTCAAGACTTGGCTTGAGGCTAAAATGTTTTGTATACTCCTAAGTTTCTCCTACTTTTTATCCTACATTCCATTTTCATATCCATACCATTTTTGCACATACAGAGATGGATAGGACAAAATATATAATGTTTTTCATGAATTCACATATTTTTGTATGCATTTTTCTCTAATACATGCATTTTGACTGTTATCCCTATTACTTGCAATTTGATATTTTGTGGTTTCCCTAATGTGGGTACATTGACTACATCTTATTTTGCTAAACAGCACAGCATATTGCAAAGTTCTGAGAAGTGCAAACATGGATGGATACCTATGTTCTTTGAGTGACTTGCTTGTTGGAAGTGCAAATTTGATTACTTATTAATTCTTAAAAACTCAAGCAAAACAAAATCACAGCCAGCTTGGAAACTAGAGAATGAAATCCAACAGCGATAGGTTTCATAGTAACACCAGCTAAAATCTTAATTGAGGTGGAAAAATCAGCTATAATTCAGAGTATTTTGTCTGAAATAACACAAAAGCTAACAAATGAATGAATGAATGAAAAATATCATCTGTGGATAGAATCCAAGGTCATCTTGCTAGGCAGATCTGCAAAGCCCACAGCCTCCTCCTCTTCTCTCTAACCAGAATCATTACTGGAGGGTTGAGATACAGAAAAGAGGGGTGTCCTCTTTTTCAGAGAGATGTATTTCTTTTATTAGACCAAACACAAGCACAGTGTACACATTTCCTTCTTAAGCCTTCAATTACTCTATCAGTTTTTTGCAGCTTGCTGCATGCAAGCCCATTTTGCATCCCATTTAGAATCTACAGAAGCAACAATATTTTAATTACCCTGAATATTAGCAAAACAATCCTTTCTCAATAGTGTGACTTCCATTATTCTGTTGCCTTTTAATTTATCACCAGGACACAAAGGAAGGAGCTTCATTTTCTCTTCAGGTCTTTTGTCTGGGAATATTAGGAAGATGGAGAGCTTCCAGATATTTCTTCTGATCTGTAGTAATACTTCACATAATCCACTACATTGTAATAACGTTGATAAAAATTCAAAAGGAAAGTGTCATGGCCAGTGTGTTCAAATCCAATTTCTACCCTCTTCCCCACCTTCTGTGGTGCCAATTTTCCTTCATTTGAGAGTTTTCTCTCTTGTTAAGCCTCCTGATAATCTAAAATGATACAATACAAAAGTTTACTGATCATTTAGTTTGCCATCTTTCTTTATCACTGGCCTATTGCATCGTAGCGTCTTCCACACAGCAAAGAAATGTCTGAAGTAGGCAACCTGCTCTATCAGGCTAAGCTTGATTAGATCTTCCTTTGTCCAGATTTATAAATTACATGAGGAAACTGGAGGCAATCTGGGAAGGCCTGGAGATAGAAAGGTCACTCTTCCTGTTTTCCTTCTTTTTTTGACACCTGTGGAATGCTGGACATAGGTAGCTGATCCCATGCAAAAAAAACCCAAAAGAGTCTAGAAGCAATGTCTCATTTTCCATGTCATCAAAGATAGTTTCCTGTTTCTCCAGACTAAGAGTCACTTCTGAGTGTTAAAGAAATAAAAATAAAAACATGTTTTTTTGTACTGAACTTTATGACTGAAAGTATCTTCTACCAGCAGTTGGAAAGAATCCTTTTGCTTATATTTTTTTATCCTTTTCATGCCCCTGGTGGAGACTGACTCTGAGGGAGAGGAGGAACAGCTGACAGGGAGTGGAAGTGTGGCTCTGGAGGTTGTGGTGGAGGCTGGGGAAGGGTAGAGGTTGGCAGGGCAGTCAGAGGAGGACCCAGGCCCATCCCCTATCCATCCTAGGGCACACAGGGGGAAGAGGATAAGGGACAGATGTGGTCTACTCAGGAGGAGAGGGCCTTGATCCTCTTCATGGGCTGTGACAACTGAATAAGAGAACGGACATGCGTACGGGCGAGCATTGGAAACAAAACATGGAAATATCTCTAGTTTATGGTTCCTCTCTGAGTTTGGCGTCTTTCTCAGTATGTGTTCTGTTATTTGTGGATGTCCTCCAGCCCTTATCTTGCCTGGTTTGTGTTGTTTTTTTTCCTCCTTCTTGTAACTGTTTGTGTGGGAGTTTTTTGTCTTCAGTCAAGGATATTTGGAGTTTGGAAGCAAAGTGAGGGAATAAAAGGGGCTTCACCTGTTTTTTAGGACTGTGTTTATTTTGTATCCCACCCTGGGTCATCACAATCCTGTTGAATATTTTTAGGGTGAGGGGAAGGGAGAGAAGAGGGAAAAAATACCTGAGTAAATTGCCAATAAAGCTTCATTCTTTTGGCTTTGGCATAACTACATTCAATAAGTCTTGGCCTGCTGTTCACATCGACCAGGCACCTGTTGTCATCATCATCAATGGTAGGACTAAGAACACCCACATGAATCTGTTGGTTACCTGTATAGTAGACATTCTGAAAGAAGAAAGCAGAAGATAGATCAGGTAGACTTTCCACCAGAAACTGATGATAAAAGTTAATATGAGGTATCAGGGAATTGACATATCTGGACAGTTTCTATAGAATAGAATAGAATTCTTTATCGGCCAAGTGTAATTGGACACACAAGGGATTTGTCTTCAGTGCATAAGCTCTCTGTGTACATAAAAGATATAAGTGATAAATCATGATCATAGTCATTATAAACACATTCATCATGAATCATAAGATACAACACTAAGTCATAATAGGATACTAAAGCAATCAAAATCATACCAGGAAACTAAATAAAACAATTTAAATTGTAAAGATACAAGCAACAAGATTATAGTCATAAGTAGAAAAGGAGATTTTGCATCCTATCTGTTCAGTTTTAAGTTTCATGAAAACTGTAGCCCATTATCAAGCTTCTATCTATTAGTAATGAAACATGAGGGGGTGGTGGTCCTGGATACTCTCTGAGCCTGCTTGTTTTCTTGCAGATGTTTCATGACTCAAACTAGGTAACATCATCAGTGCTAGTCTGAAACAGTGATGAAACAGTTTTTCTTAATATGCATATATTTACAAGCAACTTTCCTGAAGATAATACATTTATAATACTGTTTTTTCTAATATGGGCATAGTTGTATGCCATATGATTGGAGAACTGCATCATTAATTTCATAAAGATAGGAATACTGAAGTTGCAATCAGATTTGACTTGAAAACATCATTTTTTTTCAGCAGGAAGAGGGGTAATATTTACAATCTATTTTGGGTACATTTTTCTGAGGAGCCATCAAAGAGCTGCCTCTTTTTCAAAGCAGACAGATCTTTTATGCATTATGATATTGTTCTTATTGTAGAGAATAAAGCAGTGATTATAAATGGTAGACAGTCTGGAGGGTTCATGTATAGAAGTGTCATTTTGATTGGAGTTAACATAATTTGAGCATTACACTACCCTGAACATCCAAGAAGAAAGGAGCAAAATTGGGTTTGAGGAATTTGACACAAGACAAATTCTGACACCAGAACTTAAGTTAATCATGTAAAACAGGTTCTCTAATAATCCATGAAAAGGCAAACACAAAATCTGAGTGTAACACAATGCCAAATCAAGGAGAAAATGTTTGGAGGACCTACATACATAGAAATTTAGAAAACCGTTAACCCATTAGCCTAGTGATTAAGCCATAAATTGTCAGTCTGTAGTATTTTGATAAATGGAAGGAAAATATTAAGTATGAAGCAAAAATGAAAAACCTATTATATTTTACCTTCCCTAATTCTTCCCTGAGTAGATTGGGGAACACCCAGCATCTAATGTTCTTGAAGAGTCTACTCCTTCTGAGTCTTGCACAGCCCACTTAGAACTTTATTTCTCTCTCTACTTGATACCACTCTTCTCTATTAGGAGATGCTGTTCAGTGTTTTGCTTACTCTTCATTATTATGTCTCACACATTCCCTTAGAAAACCTTTACTGTATTCCAAATGCTGAAGTTGGATGAATGGATACCAAACCTATCCAATAATTTGGGGTTTAACATTTGTGTAATATATTTATTTTCAAAATTGTATGTAAATTCACTCCTGTTTTTATGGTTTTTGTACAGTCTGGCTTTTTTTTTTTTGAGGAGGAGGAGGAAAAAAATGACTATAGCTTCATTAGGTTTTGATTCAATCTTGAGCTCTCAACAGAGGTGGTGCTATAATGACACTTATTTCTCTTATTTCATTGGAAAATGAAACATTTGCAGATATTTAATTTCTAGATTTCTCCATTCTGATTCGATATAAACTAGAAAAGGTACTATATCCACTCATACTGTAAATTCAATTATGATGTAGCCCACTTTGTTAGTGGAATAAATTCTTAGATGTAACCAACTATATTTATATTTAACATACCACTCATATAAATGTGGCAAACTAAATCAAGATAGCTCAGTACAATGAATGGTTTTGATATTAAGCTGCAAAGATGAAAACTGTTTAGGTTTAAATCCTGTCTACCTTGCAGGTAATCTTTTATGCTGTTTGATAATTTTGCCGATGTAAAAGACAACCTCTTCCAATTCATGATGACATTTTATTTCAAGTTTTCTCTACTGCTTGACATATCATCAATCAAATGCCATTCAATCAGATATCATATACTGCTCTCTTGAATCAGCTTCCAACTTTAGATGCCACAGATGGAATTCCCAGCCAATCTTCCCAGCATGACTGCTGATAAACAAATTATTACACTTATGTCAGACTCATTCAATCATACAGTATTCTATAGGATGTAGATTGAGGCTCTGAGAAGCAGCCAAGCAAGTGGGTGGTAGGTAAAAAGGTGATTGCATGATTTTAATCTGGTTCCATCTTAAACACTGGAACCATGTCAATCTTTATACTCAGATTGACTATGTTTTTAAAATGTTTGAGGAAAATGCCATTTCATAAGACCTGGTATTATTTTTAGTCTATTTATTATAATCATAGTTTATATAACTGATAGCTGGTTTACATGTTAATAATAAAATATTTCTTTTAAAAAATGAATATAAAATTAATTACAAGGATAAAAAACCCATATAACAGATGAATCTTGAAATTGAGGATGATTATACATTACTTGTGATTTTAAGATTAAAAAATAAGATAATATAATAGATGGACATTTCTCAAAATTGAAAAATCAGAAGATAACTGTTTACATTTGCTATAGGAAGCATGGCATGGTTGTCAAACCTCATCAGAGCAGAAGCTTTGCTGCCTTCCCATTGCCTCCTGGGCAGGCATTTTCACCAGCATCTGCACTGAACAAAAGGCTAGTGGAAATGATGGAGCTTATCTTTATGCCTTCGTGTGAGGCATCAGAACAGTGTTCCTTGCTCTTCCGCATTTGGGGCATTGCTCCAAAGTTGATACACACCCACCAAGTCATAAACATAGGCCAGCCTAGAGGAACAATGTTGTAGTATATTTTAAGATAAGTTAATGAAATGAATATTGTTTGGGTATACAAGATAACCAACCTACTCTTTTCCTTAAAAAAGGAAACAAAAGATAACATATATTAACATGGAGGATATCATAATTCTCTGTAGCCTGTTCTTGTCATTACAAAGAAAGGAAGGATAAGCAGAGAAATCTCTAGCTAGGCTTTCAAATTATAAATGACTGGATCAAGATTTTTCAATATGATGAAATGATCTGTTTCTTCAATCAATTATGTCTGACTTACCTCATTGTATAAACATACTGTATAATGACAGTGATGACAATGGACTACCCTAAGTAGCTCTCCTCATCACTGGAACATATTAAATACAAGCCTTTTGGTCTTTCATATAACATAACACTAGAACCAATTATATTTGCTTTGCTATATTTTCATACTACATATTTTATTTGCTTATATATTAGATTTCAAAGATGTGCAAGGCCTTCCTTACATACTACATACTACTTTTACCCTTGAACAAAATGATAAAATTGCTGGGGCAAGAGTGTGGGTAGACTCTGGGTCAGGTCCTCTAAGAATTAAAATACATTGTTTTTTAATTAAAGATTAAAAGCCTACTTTGAATTTGTTCATTTGTTACAAATCTAGCACATACTGTTTTTTCAGTATTTTGGACTTCAACATTTTTTCCCTTGGCCTTAGGCAGCAAGTTTTATAACAAGGAACTGTGGAAGTTGTCAGCCAACTTTTGATCTAAAACATTTGTCTCTTCACGTTCTTAGCTTGATTCAGAACACCTTAAAATATTCAGCTGAAAGGCCCCAAATTTACTTTGAAGTCTGGCTGAGCTCTCTTTGGTGTAGACCAGTATTTCTCAACCTCTGAAACTTTTAGATGTGGGGATTCAAATCCCAGAATTCCCAGCATAGCTGGAAAATATTAGCAGATGGAGCACAGATATCTAAACCACATGCTGAGGTTGGAAACACTGATATAGGCAATCACACCAAAATTAGCTTTACTTGGCATCCAACTCTAAAGAACAATGGCTGCTGGATTTTGCTAATTAATATTATGGGACATTAATTATCATAATGCTTCCCTATTACCTAGGACTACCATATCTGGTCTGCAATTTTTGTTGTTTCATCTAGTAACTGGTAGCTATGACCAATAGTTCCACCAAGCAGTCCAATTTCACAAGCTTAACCATTTTATCAGTCCTATCAGCTTCTCCTTGTGTATCTCCATGCCTCCATCTGGGAGTCATACTTCCTGAACCATTTGTACATTTTTAACCAGATTATCTTAAGATCTATAATTCTGCCTGAGGAAATAGCATCTTCTTTAAACAAAACACTCTGAATTCATTAATATTAATGATAAAGTTGCAAGATTTGACATGAAGTTAATGAGAAATGTTGAAAACTCATTGTCACCAATAAAGACATCATTGGATGAAGAATACTGACATCCTCACAAATGATTCACTGAGACCTGAGCAAAAAATTAAAGTAAAATGTCTAACTTAATGCAAAATAATTAGATAAGTGGCCAGCTTACAAGGAATATATACTAATTTCCAATCAAAAAGCTTTGTCTTACTATGCCAACTTTGCCAGATGAAACCCATATAGGAACATGGTCTAGTTATGCATTTGGAATGAATGAATTAAATGATATTTAGAGTAGTGCTCAACTACTTTGCATAATGCATACTACAAAAACCAAAGTTTGGACTGCTATATTTTTTGAATAATTTTACATTAATAATATTTCTGTTAAAGAATTAGTGCAAGACAATTTTATATTTTGATTCTTTTCATTTCAAAGCAGTGTGAAAGTTTAAGTCATATGCAACTACCTGAAAAAGGATCAGAAGGTAATAAGAGTCTGACAGAACTCGATTTCCTTTTTCTTCATTTTTAAATGTTCACGGAAAAACTGAACATTATTTTACCCAGATGTAAGTCTCATTATGTTCAATCTGTTTACATTTAGGGAATGCCTTTCCTTGAGTACAGACCCTCAGG